ACGAGCTTTTGTTAAGTTGAGCCTGTTTTACGTTAATGTGCTAAACTTTTTTCACAACAAACTTTTCTTTGTGTCCCAAAATATTTTAATTATACTTAAAGATTTTTTTTAAATGTTTAATTTAGTCGCTTTAGGCATTGAATGGGAAGATTACCTTGTTAGAAAAGTACTACAACTAAAAATAGGAGGCTACGTTAAGTATGATTATTACACTTGCAAAATTCACATTATAAGATCATTTTATTATTTATCGTTAAGAAGGTGATTAAGGTAGGTAAGTAATATTTCTACTACTATTTTTGCTAACACAAAGAAGCTTTTCCAAACTAAATAACCCATGCTCTCATACCGCCATCGATTTTTTAAAATTATTATCCTTAATTAATTTTAACTTTTTTGAATTACACATAGAACAATTATACGGCTTAAATAATTAATACTATATATTATATTTTTCTTTATGGTTATAAATATAATAATGGCAACACTAAATATAGATTACTAATTAATATTTAAAATTGTAATAATTATAAAAATAATAGCAAAGATTAAATAAATAATTTTCCATATTCAATTATAATTAAAATTATAAAAATGTTTTAAAGTTAGAAATATTGTAATGTAATTGGTGCATTTTTCATTTTGTTAATTGTGGGTAGGCTCTCTGTAACAACTATACATTCAAGACATGTAACACCTCAGTCTCTCCCGTGACCATGGATGCTGTAAAGCATTCGAAACGTCGGGAACCAAAAATCAAAATAAATCCGCGAAATAATCCGAAAAGATACTTTTATTTAATAATGTCAAACATTCACGTAAATCTAGGAAAATATTAAGCCCATTTATAATAAAAATATTGTGATAAGTTTAGGCTAAAATCGACCACAGATGATATTTTTTATTTTTTTCATGACACAATTTATGTTTTTAATAGACAAGAAAATATTTGTTGTATTTAGACTTTAGTGTCCAAAATATTAAACATATTATACTATATCGTATTGCTTTAAATAATTTATTATGAGATTACCTTCATGAGATAAAATCGTTAATTGAAAATAATTTTAAAATTTCGGCTTGAATCTTAACTGTGCGGCTTACGTTAGTTAATACAATTTTTTGATGTACGATCTTTTAAGGTTTAGCATTAGCTATGTAAATTTCAAACACAGGTACACAAACAAACAGACAAAAAATTAAAAAAAATATTGTTTAGGGTTTGATATTCTGTACACAATATGTTACAATCATTGCTTTTAAAAAATATTACATGTACAGATTTCACTTTGTTATTATTTTATATTGTTTAACAGAAGTGTTTTTGCCGATTGTCAATATATAAATTAGTATTATTCTTACATATATAGAATACTAGCATTGCTCGCGTCTCCGCCCGCGTTCAGATGACCAAAAACCAAATTCTTAGGTTTTACTCATATTTTGCAGTTTTTGTATTTTTTCTCAGAAATGAGATATTTTCCCGCGGTAAAAATTATCCTATATGTTGACCCGGATAAACAGCTATCATGACACCAAATTTCATCAAAATCTGTCCAGTGGTTTTCTCGTGATGCGGTAACAGACAGGCAGACAGACAAAAATGCTAAAAACTATAGATTCGGCCTTGGTAACGATAATAATGTCTATTTCAATAAGATTTTCCAAAAAATATTTAATGTACAGATTCGGCTTAGTTACAATTTTATTATATGTATAGATTATATAGAAATGGACAAGGAAACAAAAAAGTCATTTTAATATAAAGTTTTAATTATTTATTAAATATAAAATCATCATATCAGATCGTTAGGACCGCGGAAAATTGATATTGACAGCTACAACAAGTATTCTACATGTCTTTAAACCGAGGCCTTATAAACTCTATACAATAAAATTAACATAAAAATGGGAACATTTAGGCAATTATTATCATTATATAAAATGGCACTACCTAATTTAGGTAACAAATATGTACATTCCTTAAAGAAATTCACAATAAAAGCTTATATATCTATGATATATCCTATTTATACACGTATATAGTACAATAAGCAAGAGGTATACTGAAATAGAACTATTTATTTGCGCTGCTTGACTTCAAACAAAGAAAATCCAATATACATAGGTAGTTCAAAGTTAAATGATAAATAAGATTCTAAACCAAATTTATAGCTTAGTATATAAATTAATGTTTTATTATAAATACTAGTTCATAATATTTAATAGATTTATTTAAAACTTAAAATTTCGTTTTACTATATAGTATATGTAATTGTGATGTGTTTTCACAAACTTAACTCTTTTCTTAGGAATATCTCGTAATTTTCTAGCATACGGAAGAGATTATTTAAACAATCATGCCATACAAAATACCAATCATTTTTTAAGGTGGATTTTTCTTCATTTGAAGCTATACAACCGATATGTTATAAAGCCTATAAGAATCTGTTATTAAATAGTTATATTTCAAGATGTAAAAATTACAAAAATTACACTTAATTTTAATATGCGATTTCGAATATATAATAAATACTATTTCGAGTGTGTAACAGAATTTGATGTAATAAACATAGAACAACTCATATTATACGTCATATGAGCGTGATGATAGATAAAAATGTACTGGATGACGTTTTCGAATACTAGAATTAGAATATCTTGCGTAGCTTTAAGTATCTCACGCTTGTAACCCAAGTTCATATCTACAATCTCTATCGATGATAGAAAACTAAGTAATCCGTAGAAATAACGTGTCTAAACGATAGTCACGTGATCAGTACTTGTCATTCCAATTTATATACATTTTCGTTTGTAATATTAAAAGTCATCTTGACGATAAAAGAAGTTAGCTAGTTCGATACTCCCGATCTCATATACGCTCGTTTCAAAGACGGCGCTCAAATCGTTTGATGTAAAAGTGGTTTTATGTTATATTTTTGACATTTCTAATAATAACGATGCCGTATGTCAATTATGTTCTTTTTAAGTTTTTACATGAGCTTCAAAGGCATCTTAAAAAACAAAATATCATTTCTTTGTAGAATTCTCGGAAATACACATATTATGAACTCATCAATGTTCTTATAAGATTATAACAATTTTTAATATATTTTCTGACTGTAAGAAAATATCGCATTCAGCGGGGATCAAAGCTGAATATTCATAGAATTACATCTAAATAATATTAGCAAAATTGGTTACAACTAAAATTAAGACTTATAAGTATATTTTATGAAATTTATACCTTTATTACAATTTTTCCATGTTTGTTTGTTATTTTCTACAAAATATATCTAAATGAAAGCTTTTAAGTCAAATGAAATCACGTGTTTGTCTATGTCACAGTATCCATCATATTCTAATAATGTTTTCTCCATAGACTACCAATATGTACACACAACCAATTTATCGACAAATATCATATATAATCTACAAGCCATTTCTTTATAGGCAATGGCGACGATTCACAAAACGTCTAATTAAATTTGATTTAATATTTACAATTTTTACAATCTTGAAAATAGATCCTATGTTATGGTCTCATCTACTTCATTTTGAGCAAATTAATGTATTTAAATTATAAGACTGATTAGTTATGAACCTTTTATATTAAAAGATATATTGTCATATAGAAATTTGCTGTATACATCAAAATTGTACTAATACATTGACGGAAATAGTATTTTTTTTACTTTTACACCTTAAATCACATATAATAATAAAAAAATGTTATAATGATTTTCTATCCAATAGATTCATTTTATTTCAATTTTCTTAACTTTGTCTAAATTTTCAAATTTAATTTCCAAATTATTCAAGCTTTTTTAAAAGTCGATTTCAGACAGAACTACTTTAGAAAAATGCTAAGTCTCACACATATTACGTAACTTAATACTTTTTAATACTCTCAAGACTCTCTACAGGTACTATACCTTCATTTATTGTTTCTTTTGCGAGACAAAGGGCGTTTTCAACAAGCGCAAATAATCGAATAAGAGAGACAAGTGTGTACTGAATAATGCTAGGATTGTGTCGTCAATGACAGCTCGAGTCGAAGAGACGACGAGAATTCTCACCAGTGTGTGACGCTAGTATTCGCTTTACATCCATAAATACATTACACTTCAAAATCAGTCCTCATTCACATATTGAGCCCAACTTTTGAATATGAATTAAACAATTTGCTCCAGTACACGTGCCTTGTACCTCGATTATTTTGTTATTATCCTTCTAATATTATAAACGCGAAAGTGAATTTGGTGTATGAATAGATCTTTGTCACTCTTTCCCGTAACAAATACTGAAAGGATTTTGATGAAAATTTATAGTAATATCCATTCTAATATAATAAATGTGAAAGTTTGTAAGGATGGATGGATGGATGGATGTTTGTTACTCTTTTGTGCCAGAGCCAAAGAATGGATCTGGATGAAATTTGGCACTGAGATAGATTATACTCTATAATAGCACATAAGTAAAGTACTTTTAATCTCGGAAAAATGTACGGTTCGGTGGGATAGATTTGTTTTTGTTTAGGGAGGAACCCAAAGCGAATCGAGGGTGAGTCACTAGTAGCTTATATATCAGAGGAACAGATATGCTATCATTTATTTCGATATAGTAATACTACATAAATAAACACGGATGGAGCGTCGATAAAATATTAGTAATTAACATTGACAGCTGTGTCTATATGTCAACGAAGTCTGGATATGATCTTTGTACTGTGCATGTTTTTTGAAAACGCACGGTTATATTAAAAACGCTACTAAAATAACGTTTGAATGCATTGTGCATACCAAATATTGAAATTTGACTTCAAGTGTTGTGCCCAATATGTAATTACAAGATTAGTAATTAATTATAATTATTAGATATTATACAGCTCATCAGTAGTTCGGGTAAACGTCGTTTACCTTTTAATTAGAAGTCTATATTAATTAAAAAATATAATGAAATTTCCAACTAGTTGAATTCATTAGTTTTGTCTCTATTTACACACAACTTTCAGGACCGGGTAAATTTTCCGCTAGCACATGTTCTCTCCTTCTTACATTTTTGCCTTTCCGATGCAATGTCGAGGTGGCCAAGCTACCGGAGCTCAGTGTTGGACCGCTAATAGCCAAGGTCTGGCTACCAAAAGGTGACCCCAAATTCCCATTAGGACAGACGAAGTTAGGGCTCCCTAAAGTTGGACTATTTGTCACTACAAAGTTTGGTCGGAAGTTACTTAATATCGGTTGAGACAAGTTTTGGTTGATAACGTCCTCTTGTCTCGACGTAATGTCGCTTCCAGGCGTAAGCTGATAAAAGAAGTTTTATGAATTTAATAGAAATTTATTTAAATTTAAGAATAGAATTAGCTAAAAAGTTAACAGCTAACCTGTTGCGGTCTTCCAGTTGAGTCTAATAAAGCGAGATCCTCTGCTGAAAACACTGCTGCAGTTTTACTCCAATCACCTGCCATTCAAAAAAAAATAATGTTTTGAATGTTAACACATTAAATTATTATATATAAAATTATTATTAATATTCCTAAAATATTTGAACATTGTAGAAAATATACATCTTCATAAAAAAAATGTCGACGTTACCACACATAAGAAAGCAACTTTACTGTAAATTGTGAAAAAACATACATAAAAATATTTCACTATAGATTATTAAAGTCTATTAGTTGTATATAAATTACTTATATTACTATCTTAATAAACTTTAATAATTTAGCTTTTAGTGTATAAAGTCATGTACTGTATATAATTAACGTTGAAGCAGTAATAATAAAAATTTAAACATTCTACTCTCAAGTTGGGAGTTGGCAACTTATCATTCTTAGCCGACGATTTTACGAACGCTTTATATGAATGAGTACCTCTAACTTCCTTTACACTCGGCCATTCGTCCGCCTCAACAGTAGTGGGCGGTGCTTTCTGAATTTCACCATCTGTTTAAAGACATTTTTACTTATAATTTAAAAAATATACCTTGAACACTAAAAAGACTAAAAATCACCTAAAAATTGAATGGTCCACCCTTACTGGTGGTTTTTTTTCTACCTGTAGGTTATACTTATCCATTAAATAAAGAACGTGAACATCGCTGGGAAAGATATTATATTGAAGAGTTTTTCGATTTTTATCCAGATACATCTTATATTAAAGTAAACGTTGGTTCGATTTCTCCTAAAAGTAAAGAAGATGAGTAGTGAAGTTTTAAATTTAACACTAAAAATAAGGGACGATAGTACAAAATGAAGGTTGTATATACAACAATGTATATACAAAGTGAAGGTTTTATTCCCTTAAGTTATTTTTGAACGATCACTCACGATTTTCCTGAAGATAAAAAGTTAATTTTTACCACAAAACACAAAAAATTGCATATTCCATAGCAAATTGCTGCCCTTATTTTTATGTTCGTCATAATTAGTTTAATATATTTTTACTTGTTATCAATTATATCTGTAGTATATTATAAATGAAAGTTTTTTCCGATTTAAAATTAAAAAAAAAAAATAGTGAAAGTGTTCTTTTTTCATAGTATAGAGACACTATCAGGAAATATTTATACAAAATATTAAATCTAAATTTATTGTATTTAAAGATTTTAAAGTATTATCAATTTGGTGAAACAATTCGAATTGTTATTATTATTAACTCGAAAGTTTGAAACATTGTTTTATTTTAAATTTCAAATAACTTTATAAATAATAATTACCAAACCTTCACGTTACATTTCTTTGAATAAATTAAAGGTATTTAGTTTAATTTAGTTAACCGAAATATTAAAACTACTTCAAATAATATATGATCTTAGCAAAAAAATAGATTTACAGCAAACATGGTCACAGGGGACAGATTCAATAGATATAAAGTAGTTGCATTTCTATATGTAATATTCGAGTAAACCTAAGATAGTTTTAGCATAAAAACTGTAAAACTAGTATATTTCATTGGTTGAAGTATCATAACAAAGAAATAATATATTAAATTTACGTTTATAACGTACATATATTACTACATAACCCCACGGCTAGATACAAACAACAAATTGTCATAAAAACTTCTAACCCCTCAAGGGTTTGAATTTCCATCCTGTATCCGGGTATATGATGAAAATTCAATCCGTTTAAAATATAATACATATTATATAAATGATGAAGAGACAGATGCTCAGACCACTACGCCAGGTTAGAGGTTGTGGAGTTAATTCAACCAATGCTTCGGTATCAAAAGCTTCCGTCCCTTTAACTCTATGCTAATTTCTGTGTTCTATTATTCCTTGAAACCAGTTAAACCAACAAAACATTTTCGCAATAATATTAAATTAACTGGCGACCCGCCCCGATATCACTCAAGCTTGATGACCATCAGCTTAGACAAGATAACATTTAACGATTGCTTAGAAATTTTAAGAATTTTATTGAAATGACAAAATTTAATCCCTATGCCACTCAAAACAAACAGACATGGCGACTTTTTTCTATAACTGCCCAAAATAAAGTACCTAATAATTATAATTTAAGTCAACTAAGGTCGTCTTACCTGGTGCATTCAATATATCTGGCTGTGGCTCCGGCGTCTTAGAGTCAGGAGAAGGTTTGATAGTGTAAGCCACGACGTATCGCCTACACCCGTCGCTTAGTTCCAACATATCGCCCGGCGGGTGTTTGTGAGGGTGCGCTCTACGTCGCCGTGCACAAAGTACTAGACCTACACCCGCAGCTAGAACAGTTGCTAGCAGAGCTGATAGTAACACACCCAATGTTATACTGCTCATTGAAGTTTTTCCTTCTGTATAGAAAAATAATAACTTAAAAACTTTTGAAATTTTCATTTTTCACTGTCTTATGTTTCCTTTAAAAAACAGAGTTTATTGTAATAATTCAATGGTTAAATAACAAATATATGAAGCCCTAACTCTAGAAAACTGTTTTTAGCCCCCGACGCAAAAGAGGGGTGTTATAAGTTTGACGTCGATGTCTGCCTGTGTGTGTGTGTGTGTGTGATGTGTGTGTGTGTGTGATGTGTGTGTGTGTGTGTGATGTGTGTGTGTGTGTGTGATGTGTGTGTGTGTGTGTGATGTGTGTGCGTGTGTGTGTGTGTGTATCTGTCTGTGGCATCATAGCTCTCAAACGCATAGACCGATTTCGTTGCGGTTTTTTTTTCATTTGAAAGCCAGTTTCCTTGCGGTGGTTCTCAGCTATGTTTGGTAAATATCGATCCAGCAGTGTAAGAGTATCAGCTCTTTTCAAAATGATGTAAGGCATTTTGGCGTATGCTTACTCGATTAAGTGCTTCACGCGTGCCTGTGTAATCGTTAAATGACAATTTGCGTTGGAGGTTTTACAAATTTTTAATTTATAATATTATCAAATCAAATGTTATTTCGAAAGCTTAAAATAAACTAAGTGGCTTAAAACAATACAGTTCTGCGTAATTCTTTCCATTTTAATTTATGCTATAATATTGAGATTTTTGCTTTGCGTTGTAAAAATAGTTATAAGCAGTATAAAACTACAGTTATCGGTAAATATTTAATGTTATATTATAAGATGTAGCATTATTTATATCTATATTTCATATCATACTTGATCTAGAAAACGAGTTAAATGTAAACAATTGAAGTGAATGTTTAATATTAAAATAAAATGGAATACGCCGCTTAAATTACTTTAAACTCTAGGGATGAAATACCAGTTTTCATTATGTTGCTATTCTATTTATGCGAGGAAAGAAAATCTAGTTAGTTATTTTGTAACATAGTTTAATCACATACCCGTTCTTCGAGCAGCGTCGTTGAAAGCAATATTTTCCAGGAGAGTTTTCTCTGAGTCTCCCTTGAGGTTTTTTGCATAGATGAGAAGATTAAACGTAGCCCCTTCAACGTCTCCAGCCGATAGCTGGGTAAGATCTAATTTGAAGACCGCCAAACCATCTAAAATGGAAATTCTTTATTTAAAGAATCTCTATTTAAAGAATGATCTTACGAGATATCATCGGCAATTGTAAATCGATTTTGGTGATAATTTTATATTATATGGATTTAATAAATTATATATTTTTTTATATAAATATATTATAACTATAACCTATAATATGGCGTTATACCTATAACGTAATGATTTTAATTTGAGGTGGTATATATACACTAATAAGTGATTTTAAAGTGAGTTAATTGTTTTAGTCACAAATTAATTTTAATATTATGCTGATATTGTGTTTGACTTATTCCTGGTGGGTCGTATGCTAGACGTATTTTAACGTCTATGTTAGGGTGTTGCAATACGACCCGCTATAGTGTGCGTTGGAATGCGTAGTTTAAATAGATGTCACACTCGTTGTACTACGTTTATGGGAAGTCGATAATGTACAACCATACTATTTAAGCTACTGAGAAATAAGACAAAAAATCATGTTTCATTAGATAAAATTTATAAATAAATGTTTATTACACACGAAACGTTTGGCTCAGTTTGTAGTAACCCTATAATTGCTGTGCCAGCGGTAGCGGGTTCGAGTCCCGCTGGAGGCATTCATTTGTGTGGTGAGCACGAATGTGTGTACACTAGTCATGGGTGTTTATATTTATAATATGTATATATTTAAAGTTATATAATATGTGTAGTGTATCAACTATCTGGTATCCATAACACAAGCCTCGTAGCTTTCCATGGAACTAGATGGTGCTGTGTGTTAATGTCCCAATATATTTTAGCTACAAACATTACACTTAATATGCTTTAAAATTTGATCACTAAGCGCATTTAACAATATTATTAATAGATATAACGGGACCACGTCAGTACTTAAAGATGAAATGTTAAAATAATATTATGTTTTATTATTTTTTTTATTTCAATACTAGCGGCTCGCCCTCGATTTGCTCGGGCTTGTCCCTAGGTACGTTTTAAGTAGTTCCAGAGATTAGCGCGTTCAAACAAACTAATAAACAAACTCTGCCTCTTTATAATACTAGTATATATTTTACTCATTACAGCGGATGTATCTAACTCAAATCTCATATCATAAGGTTTTTATATCGTTTATATAATACATATTGTCCGATATGCCCATTTTCCATATTTTCACATGAAAAGGGCACTGACCTAATGTATGTATACCTCGCACAGTCCTATGAGGATCTCTAAAATGAATTCTGAAAATACTATTCATGATGCAATACTTATAACTATATAGTAATAGTTATAAAATATGGTTATAAAAGAAACTAGAAAAATCATTTGGAATAAATTACCTACTAAAATTTAAATAAAGCATTTACATTAATACGTATGCTAATATTTTTTAACTAAAGAGCTTTTCCAAGATATTGAACTCCACTAACATATTTGTTCAGAATAAAGTTAAAACACTAGCATCTAGACTTCATTAATTTAAACGTTTCGCGATGCGAAGTCCGGAGGGTATCCATTCGTTTTAATCGTGAGATGCATTTTAATGTACAAGCTGACTTTAGAATCTAAATGAATATTCCTTAACCGTTTCTACTATTGTTGCTTTTGTAAAAATAAATTAAATAAAGAGGATGATATGTCTTTATTATACGAACATCTATACATATAGTATTTTTTTTATAAATATGTTTCGACGTTAACACACAGCACCATCCAGTTTCATGGTAAGCTACGAGGCTTGTGTTATAGATACCAAATAGTTGAATCACTACACATATATAACTTTATATACATACATATTATTATAAATATTATTTTAACTGAGAGACAATTTTAACTGAGCCGAATCTGTACATTAAATATTTTTTGGAAAATCTTATTGAAATAGTCATTATTATCGATATATGCCGTCTATAGTTTTTAGAACTGAGAACGCATCACAAGAAAACCAATTCACAGATTTTGATGAAATTTGGTATGATGATAGCTGATTATCCGAGTCAACATATAGGATACTTTTTTCTGTGGGAAAATATCTCATCTCTGAAAAACCTTTACTAAACGTTACAACGAGAGACGAAGCGAGGAAAATTCGCTAGTCCAGTTACCTATATATTTTTATTACTATAGCGCAGTGAGGTTTGACTTTGACTGGCAGGGTGTTTAATTACGCTGTTTTGTGATGTTAATTAAACTCTTGTGAAAATTGTTATATTTTATTGTAAAATTATAACACAACACAACGTATTATATTACATTGGTTGAAAATATTATATCCTGTGTTTTTTTATTACTTCTATAGATATAAAATCTTTAACAGAAACATTAAACAGATGCTTTAGTTGCAGGATCAATTACTTCACTAGCCACAAATATTATACTATGAATATTAAAGATTAAAAAAAATGTCGCATTATTTCAATTGAATTCGAATCAATCAATACCCTTGATAATGGCTACAAAGCGTGCCTGTTGAGTACAGATTACTTCGCCAATGTCACGCAGAATGGAGAAGACGGTCGCAGAAGAAAACTCTACGCAGAGAAACACTGCAGAGAATCTTTGCAGTGGCGAAGAATGGAATATGGTGTCACTAACTGTATTCATTTTTGTCTAGCCCTAGAATTAAAATTGGATAAAGCATTCAAAAATTAACTTTTAAAAAATTGTCCAAACTAACATAGAAAGAAAAACCATGAAAACTAAGTAAAAAACGGGGGAAATGTATAGTCTATAATATTACGGTATATGAATTGACGTTTTATATATTACTTTTAAAACTTTATTACAACAGCGATATTTTAAACGGTGTGAACAAAATAACTCGTTACAAAATTGTGTGCTGCATGTAAATGATCGAAGTTGGACTGAATGCAATATTTTTTGTCAGTGAGGTTTTAATTTATACAATTTGTTTTAAAAAAATGTAAATACTGGTGTTTGCACTCAATTTTTTTTATTTAACTTTGCGAATGAAAATCGCTTTGAAGACAAAGTCGTGCATTTGGTTAGAGTTGTTTCTTTTTTGTTTTTTAATTCCTGCAAGTAAGCTGTACGAAAAATTCAAAAACGTACTATTCTTTTCCTTTTCCTAGCAGAGAAAACTATTACGGTGACAAATAAAATAAATTGCAGCGTATTCATGGAACATTTTTAATTTTGTATTTTATTCAAATATAATTCTTCATCACTAATTTATAATATGTATGTATTTAAAGATATATATGTGTAGTGTATCAACTATCTGGTATCGATAATACAAGCCTCGTAGCTTACCATGGAACTAGATGGTGTTGTATGTTAATGTCCCAACATATTTATTATTATTATAATTTATAATTGTACAGAATTAACGCCTTAGAAAAAAAAAATTAAACAAAAATATATAAACTAGTGCTTACTCTCGCTTCGTTTGGGTGCGTCCTTAGGTACCTAACAGTAGTGTGCTAATCCAGGCCATAATCTATCTATGTGCTAAATTTCATCTGAATCCGTCTAGCCATTTTAATTTATAGACGTAACAGCCATACATACACATATAGTACTCCGATATATTTAACTCACTTTTTAAGAGTAATTTGACCTAACCTTACCTGTTTCGTTAACACTCGTGTTGAACTTGATCTTGCTTGTAATTGGGTCGAGTGCTTCCAAAACGAACGACTGAGGGAGTCCACCGTCGTACCCCGATACGCATCGAATGATAAGCCAACTGACGCCTTCTGTGCTGTTAGTGCCGGCTTGGAGTGAACAATTGCGAGGAGGTGCTGGTCGAGCTGAGAATATCATATGGTTTTTATAAGTTGGAAAATCAAAATTAAATAAGATCCTGGGTTTTCTTATAAGACTGAAATTAGGGCTATAAAGGGCGGACCATGCATGCTGTATGACTATAAAATTTTCACGACTTACGAAAATCGAACCTGCGATCTTCAAAATACACAAATAGGATTTTTACCATTATTACTTATTTTAGAATATATAATTTGAAAATCTAGCCAAAAATTAACAATATATTCTAAAAGCTTAGTGTTCCTTTTTGCGTTTAACATAATTACTTTAATGAAAATGTTGAAGTTTCTACGTTGTGCATGACGGAAATGCTATTAGTAAATTTTTAGATAAATGCTGTTATAAGGCAGCGAAATAATTATTACTTATATACACTTGAAACGCGAAAGTAGTCGGCGAAAATACAAGTGGAGACTGCTTTTTTGCCGACACCAATACCCGATTTCATCGAAACTTCAATTTAGTTTCTCCCAATCCAATTTTACGGTTCTTAGTTTTAAATAAATGTTATATTTGAACTTAATTCTGACAACATCAAATATTATGACATTTTACTATGTTACTGTGTAAATCCGTACTTTCGTATGTACGCTGTTCGTTGGTAAACGCATCACTTAAGAGCTGGATCGATTTGTTTATTTTTTAAATATAGTAATGTTCCGAATAAGGTTCTTAGGAAATAAAATTAAAGGTTGGCCCAAAAGTTGGGAAATTTCGGAAAAAACCGAATGCTATAGAATTTTTGTATAACCTCAGCATATTTATTGAAACCCCAACAGGAAAACCTCTGGCAGGCCAGCTATTAATATTATAATTGCTAATGTATGTTGTATTGACGTCATTTTATATCAACATTTAGTATATAGATTTCTCAAAGATGAGATTTTCCCACAGTAAAAAGTATCCTATATGTTGACCCGGATAACCAGCTATCATCGTACCAAATTTCATCAAAATCTGTCCAGTGGTTTTCTCGTGATGCTTTCCCAGATAAACAGACAGACAAAAATTCTAAAAACTATATATTCTGTATCGATATTTCAAAAATATTTTCAATAAAATATTTATTGAACAGATTTTACTCAGAATTTTATTATTTGTTTAGATTGATAATGGACTACGGAGTGTCATACTTTACTTTGTATTCCACTACGGCATTTTTTTCCATAGGATATTAGTTGTTTTCAAAAAGTTGCATATATTTTTTGGAGACTTCTAGAATATTTAATGTGATGTTAAACTTGACTTTGTCGTAATAAATAATCTCATATCCTAAGCAAATAATGAATATAGTAAGGCTTCCCTCACAAAGTTAAGGGTGCTTTGCGCGATGCCTTACAATTTAATCATTTTAATCTCTAACCCTCAAGGGGATGAATTAATTCACACATAACACACGTCTAAATGAAAATTAAATGCACAGCCATGTCAAGACTTGAATTATAGCGTGGCGACAATTTATAGCATTTAACTAATAAGATAACATTGTGGTAGAATATACTGGTAATTTATCTCTTACAGGTACTCTTGTAGACATTAGTAGATACATTAAAGACATTAAAGAGTAGTAAGTATCTTTACTAAACTAGATGTCAAAATTATTTTCTTAATAAAATTCATTTTAAAGATAATATAAATAAACAACCATATGAACCATATAAATACGTCTCGAAAACTTGACACTACTCGTACTTGATACGCGACTACGTTGATAATTAAGTATGTACCTAGTCCTTTTCTTTTCGTCATATTTCTACTATACAGACAGATAGACAGTTTTAGCAAAGATTTAAATTGATTTTTAGTATTACAATTACGTTCAATAGTTGAATGATAATTGCTTTAAAATTATTGTGTGCAATAGGAAATTATCATTTGTGTAGATGGGTCTATACAATAATTACTAATTTTGTTTTTACGGTCATTATTTTTAAGGCAAGCGTTACTTTAAGTTTTAAGCCCTTAATTTCAAGTGCTACTTGCGCCATATTAATAACTAGCAAAACCCACGTCTTCGCTCGCGCTAAAACTAAAAAAAGCTATTAGTTAATGCACAAAAATGTATACAGTTACTAACAAGGTTAAAAACCTTTGAAGTTTGACGTGCCTTTGACAGCTTAATAATGTTGCCATATCAAAACTTTTAAGGAAACTCTAGGACACGGTTTTGTTAGCCAGACTCTATCATGTTTGCTAAACACAGTACTAAGTCATTTAAATTAAATTACAAATTTGCAGCCTTGAGTATTTGATATTTATAAGCAAGTGGAGTTACGTATTTGTATCAGTACGTTTATAATACGAGGATATTAAATGTTGCGGTTAGTGTGCTTCGTTGCACCTCGTGGCTAACTCATATTTCTTCGTGCAGCTGCGTCATAGCGATATTTTCAATGGTGTGGCAGTTAAATGTATCCTTGTTTAGCTTATGACTTAAATTATTAAACAATATTTTTATTAAAAAATCTTCCTGTACTTAATTTTCACATTTAAATTTTTTTATTATATTACAAATATAACAGAAACGTGTAATGTTGAATAAATAAAGCGCGTTCGAACGAGTTATGTTACTAATTCCAAACCAATGGAAAATTATAATGTAGGTCAAAATAATTAAATTTATATAATCTTTTAAATCTGTAGAAGATATTAAAATACAAATTTTCAACTAATATTCTGTAACATAACGCCAAATCTTTAAGCCAATTGGCTAGAAATTATACAGGTTTATAGTATCGGCTTCACCATAATTTTATTAGTCGATACAACACAGTGTTTACCGGCCAACCCTAATACAGCGATAGAACGATAAGAAACTAGCTCGATACTAAAATATAATAGCCTACGTAGCAAGCACCTGGAGTTTTCAGTGACCTATAATAGGAGTTCACATTCTCGAACGGTTTATTCAACAGTTCACCTTCACGATCTATTTTAGTCTTAATGTTAAATTTTGACTTTTATTTTATAGAGTTTACTAATTATGTAACAGAATTATAACTATAATTTACAGTTAAATATTATAATTATTGTATATGTTCATGTTGAGTTGATGGCTTGTGTCATTAAAATTTAAGAAGTATAAGTGTAACTAATAACAACAAAGAACTAAAATCTGTACATCTATACATATAAATATAAAATTGAAGTGTAAGTCTGTGATTTCAAAATAACTACGTTTTGTCTGTTTGTCTGTCTTTATGTTTGTTAAGAGTAATCTTTGGATCGGCTCAACTAATTGTAATGGGAACTTTACTGAAAGACAGAGGACTTGTAGGGCTACATAAAGGGTATGTTTTAACCGGAAAGAACAGGAAAGCGGAATAGCGCTACATTTTTTATTTTACTTGTTTACTTCGGCCATAATTTTATGTTAATAAAAAGCAATCACAAGCATTTATTACCCTAGTCTAATCTGGCACATCCAGTTTAATATCGTTAAAAAAATAGTAATGAGTCAGCTAGAGCTATAAAATATGATATAAACTAACTATATGAACTATATACAATAATATGTGTACATTTTGTATTAAATAAGAACTTACATGCAGGTACAATTTGGAAGACACAAGGTTCTATTTGTCTGCCAACTGTATTGCTTCCGCGGCAGCTTAGTGCCCCGTAGTCTCGCTCGCTGGCTGGCTTGTAGTTAAGTTCACTGGTACTGCCATTTGCTGTACCTAGATTAATATGAATTAATTAATAAGCTTTTATTAAGATTTGCTAATGACTATTAACAACTAGGTTTAGTGGCTAGCTATAGCTATCTACAGATATACCATATGTCTGCAGATCCAGTGGTCCTGAGTTCGAGTTCTGGGTCAGCCAAGTATAGTTAGGTGGCTCTGTTACACCCTCGTAGGCAAGAGGTACGTGAGAGCACGTAAAGCCGTTGGTCCTGCGCATGATCTCTCATCATCATCTCTTATCCCGTCGTGTCAAATTTTCATCCCATTGGACTTTGAGAGTAAAAGTAATAGAGAACGGATCTACTGCGCACATGGCTAGTCGCAGTGAAATTGATATATTAGCGACTACTATACTATATTCAGTGTATAATTGTAATGATTTTTGTTCCTGCTAAAGTATTTAGAAAAAATTTGACAATGTCAAAATGAAATTTATTATGTGTTTAAAATTTATTTCAAAATATATCAGAAAATTACATTCAAACTTTGAGTACTTTTGAGTACCTTTGAGAACACTATATAAAACGTTTTAAAAGAAAATAATATGGAATATGCATATTACAATAATGATACTAAATTAGATGTTTTGGTCATCGCAACTTGGGTCCTTTCCGCGAAATAAACAATAGCATTTCCAAGGAGGGTTGACGTCAAGCAGGCGGCCGGTCGTGAAACTTTTGCCAAATCCTATCAGCAGTACCGAAGGCGTACTACGCCGACTCCGAGTGATTGGGAAATGGGCAGGGAGATGATGATGAATTGTAATAATTTTTATGAGTCTATGAAGTAGTATCTTTACCTATAATCAATTTTAAAATTAAACGCCAAATGGATTGTATTCAACTTGAATGCATGTTGCGTTTTAATGGTCTGGGATTAAAAGGCAAATTGTATTATAATACATATAAAAACAAACGGAAATGACACAGGGGACATCTGATTAAAATAAAATATAACAATTAGTATAAGCTGATAAGAAAAACGTTTTTATGGTTTTTATTATCTGCAATGCTTTTAATTTTCCTGTAATGTATAAAATAGTAAAATGCTTATTTAAGAAGCAATAGTTAATTATAGAAGAAACAAACCCCATAAAAGTAAAAATAATTATTAAAAAAGATACGTATATATATAGGATATATGTTCTATATCTTTTGAGGAAAATTATTTGAACAGTTCCACCGATATCGTACTTACAGTATGACCCGAGGTTATGTTTATGGTTGTAGGTTATAGGACGTGGGTTTTCTAATGTTCGTGTTTCAGTTTATGCGAACTGGTACACGTTTATGTATCCTTCAGTAGCATACAATATTTCATTATAATTATTTTTATTGTTACTAGTTACCCGCAGATTAGTCGATAAGTTACCCGTAGAAAAGTTTTTCTCTCTTTTCTTTTAATATTATTGGACAGCGCCAATAGTAAGTATAGAAGTAAATCGGTTTTCACATGCGATATGTTATCCTAATAAAATAACGAGCTGTGAGTGCCAAGGTTCATCCAAATCCATTTAATTTGTTCCGCGTAATTAAGTCACAAACATTCGAATATTATTATGTACTTTCACTTTTATGAAATTAACACTGTATATGTAATACATATTATAATCATCATCATCATCATTTCCAACATGATTACCACTCGTCTTGGCGGTTAAAGAAAAAATCGTGAGGAATCCTGCATGTCTGCGAGTAGCTAGCAAGTTTTCAAAAGACATGTTAAGTCTGCTAACCCGCACTTGGCCAGCGTGGTGACTATGGCCTGATTCCCCTCGTACTGAAGGGAGGCCCGTGCTCAGCAGTGGGACGTTAAAAAGGGCTGAATACAATGTAATACTAAAAATAATTTCCTGTCGCATGATACAGATACTTAAATTCTAAAAATGTTGCCTATGTACTTAGAACGCTACGTAATATACGAGTATTACGCTCTTTCTAATTAAGCCCGCAGGTAAAAAACATATATAAGTAAAACTTTTCTCAAACCACAATAAAAAGCAATTAAGAATTCCAGATCTGGTCTTAGTTTTTATAAATTATGAGAAGTGACCCCATTTATCCAGTTGTTTCCTTTCTACAGCAAACAAGTATTGTACTAAAGTGGGACACGTATGCATTTCGTTGGTTATAATTTATCACTATCACAAAACTCTACTTGGCACCCATTCAAAAAACGGTCTGAGCAACGAAAATAATCTTTTGATGTAACAGTGGAGAAATTATTAATTTGAAATCGTTTTCTCTTGTTACAGTTCAGGTCACGTGTCACATGTCCCGCCTACCAAATAGGTATCTGTTGAACTATTTGATTTGCTTGAACTTAGTAGTTAGCTGTCTTGATTTTGTTGTTTCGCATTCGTGTGTGGATGTACAAAACTTTACTGTCACATGTCACGCTTTGAATTATATTAAAATTCTATTTGATGAAGCTTTAATTAATTAATTTGAAGTATGCCGTGTGTAGCATTCGTTTTGGGTGTACAATGTACGTATTATTGTGTTATAGTCTAATTTCAGGGATAAAAGGTAAAATAGTTTAAAATTCTTATAGCTAGGAAAGTTAGATTAGTTGGGTAATGCTAGTTAAGAAATAAAAGTGCGTATTCTTACCAAATTTAGTGGGAGAAACATCAAGACTCTCTCCACTGTTGTTAAACTGCCAAAAGAAAGTGACATCAGGGGGATTGGCTGTCACCGAACACCGAACCCGCAACGTTTCTTCCAATTGTGCGCCCAAAACTTGTGGCGAAGTGTGCATACATACGGGTGCATCTATTAAAACCAGTAAATGATTAGACATAACCGTTCGATAAAAACAAAATATATCTACGAAACAGCAAATTAAACTAGTTAAATTTGAGCCATAAAACGTATTTACGTAGAAAATTAACCAGATAGCAAATTTCGCGTTCAAAATAGAACCTGCAGATGATTTAAGAGTTCATTTCAACATGAAGCTCTCCGTCGGCAAACTAAAACTTATGTAACAACCTGCTTTAAAGTACTATATTATGTATGATATATTATGAATCAGGCAGGTGAAAATAATTGGCTTTAAATCAAGCTCCGACTCGCAAACTTTTAACATAACAGAGTGTACTTAAGGTTAAACATAAAATATAACATAAAAGTGGAAATTTGTTTACTGGCAGCCTGTGTACATTATAAAAGCGATGCTATAATTAACGGGAAAAGCTAAAAGACTTCGAATACAGTTCGTTAAATCATAACAGAAGTCAGACGATACATAAATTTTATCGCCAACTGTTCCCCTCAGGTGGGCGCACTCGGTGACTGGGATTCGTTTAGATACCTACTTATAAAACTGCGCTCTCGCTCAGTCTTAGATTTTCATTAAGCTCTCAAATATTTGCTCGCATTAAGCAATCTTGTTGAGAGATTACTTAATAATGTAATACATACACATGCGATGTTTTAGTTATACTTAGGTATTTGTATTTATTCTAATTCTTTATTACATTTACTCTCCTATGGCCTTGTACCAGTTGCGATGTGATTGATGAAATATTTGAGAAATAGAGTAGTTTTAATAAGACTTTATTGTGAAAACTGAATGCATGTCACTGCGAAATATGCTGAAAATAGCTATAGGCTGAACCTATTGATACAGTACCTGTACGACTTATGTTATTTTTATTAGTCCGGCTATTGATTATTAAAATAAATATTTTACACTAACGACTCACCCTCGTTTCGCTCGGGTTCGTCCCTAGGTACGTTTTATTTTTTTTTGAGCGGAAACCTTATTCTTTTTCTAAAAAAAAGTATGTTATGCCTATGTTACTCCCTATAACATCAGCTATCTTCCAGTGAAAGTCCTGTCAAAATCAGTCGAGCCGTTTCAGAGATTATCCGGAACAAACAGACAGACAAAATTTATAAAATTGTGTTTTTCTTATAAATACCACTACACATTTTTTTATTTTTCATTATAAGTTTACATGAAATATTTCCTTTCTTAGAAAAAAGTAATAGGTGTAATTTTTTTACGGTAATCACCCCGAGATATTTAAGTTCATTAAGTTTGCATGATGAATCCCGTGAGTATAATAGAATAATTCTTTAGGAATACGTCTAAAACAGCAGGCAAAAGCTAACACAAGATATACTAACTATAAATAAAACGAGGACAAGGCCGCATACGTTGTTGATCGGTCGATAGCCATGAAGGAAGGCGGTGTAAATCTTATGGGACCTGACCTTAACTTTCTTCAGAAAATATAGAGTTAGAGGTCAGTAAACTAAAATTACGTTTTTATCATATTGTATATCTATTATGCTATTAGTAAATTTATACTAATATTATAGAGGTAAAGTTTTTGAGTTTGTGACGTTGAAGGGGGTAATCTCTGGATCTACTGAACCGACTTAGATGAAATTTGGTAAAAAGATAGTTTGAGATCCTGGAAAGGACATAGGATACTTTTTATCCCGGAAATCATCCCTTAAAAGAGGGTGAAAATGGGGATGATGCGTGATATGTATGCAGTATTCTTTGGGTTATAGATTTTGTATTAGCCAGCCATTCACTTCGTATATTGTGAAATGATTAATGCCCTAATGATGATTACGTCAAAATCCTCGCCAAAAACAGTTCCCTTATAGAACTTGCCCGTTGTTGGTTCATTTATAGTTAGTAAATAAATCCCGGTAGAGAATATTTATTGTTCATTATTCTATTTTGATCGATGGGATTTTGATGACTCATTATGTTACAGACGTTATTAAGCTAATTGCTATATAATAATATGAGGAACAAAATCCAGTGAAGAGTTCAAATTGAAATATAAATATGGTACGACCGCCCATTCAGAATTATAACACGTTTTGTATTAGGAAGTCAATATAAAACATTTCTTGGTAAAACTCAATAAAACTATATGATTAATGTTAGATAATCTATTTTTACTAACTTTAATCTATACGATCTTTAGAAGAATGATTGATATGCCTAAAAATATTAAGTTTTATCTAGAAATGAATAAAATTAGTACTTTGTTGGTACAAAAGGGTACTTCCAATTTAGTTGGAAGAAGCAATTTTCTCAACAATTTAGTTGCCGAGGTGTTTTATTTTTATCAGGCTTTTAGCCAATCGAAAGTCGATTTGGCCATTAGGATTTTATGTTATCCGTTGCCTAGGGTTTTGTTAATGCATGAGAGTAAGAGCTTAAACCTATTTTCTAGATTACGCCATTAACTCTATATGCTAGGATTAGTGTTGAACTAGGTAATTACTTTTATACACTCATATTACTTAACTTGAATTTTATTACAGTTTATATTAATACACAGCGTTTTTTTCTGTAAAATCTCGTTTTTTTTCGAAAAATATATAAAAATTGTGTTTTTTTTAGAAAATATACCTATAGATAAAATTAAAATGCTAAAATGCAAAATTTTGTCTGAATACAAAATTTGATCCAAAACGTTAGAGCTGATACAAGAATTGCTCATTATGATCATTGAAGTTGTTATATTTTGATATTGTAGGTATAAACGCTTATATAACGATTTGAACTCTTAATTCTGAGATGCGGTTTTTTTTAAATACCCTAACTCAAAATTCATAACTAAAGTGCACCTATTTAAGTTTGATGCTTATGTTGGTCCGTTACTTTAAATATCTGTCTATAATTTGAGCTATACATATAATATGTATATAACTCATAAATGGATCAACCAATATTATTTGATTTTTTATTTGAAACTACGATTATAAAATGGCAGACGTAGTGAGAAGACCACGAAAAAAGATCAAGATAAAAATTCCACCTTTGACGTCGTTTAATATGTCGTATTGTGCGAGAGCAATCACTCTAACCTATATCTGTGAGAGCGTAGAGGCTCCTAAGAGCCCATTTGATGCGCAATCGTGAACTGCATAGAAGAACATGTATTAAGCGTAAAGTGCAACGTACTGGAGTATCAATATGCGTAAATATCCTTCTGTATATAAAAGTCTACTAATATGTACGGAAATTTAAATTCGATTTGTTATAAATGTAAGCAAATAAAAAAAAGAATGATCACGATAGGATAATTAGTTTCGGAGAAATGCGTGGACAAACATACATACATACACCTATAAAATTTTGTATATTTGTTTGGAAGCCCTTATCGATTATTATCTTAAGTGAATATTTTGCAGTTCCAATAATATGTCATACATACGTGTCGAATTGATAACCTCCTTTTTTGAAGTCAGTTAATAAAAAGGTTATTATCTTATTGGTTATGTTATATCTATAAAATTAAACCATTAAATTCGTACCTAGTACCTATATAAAGCGTTATAAATATTTTCATAACCAACTAAAATATATTAAAAATATGATATAAAACATGGAGAATATAGTGAAGTAATATGATAAGAATTGCTTTGGTTTTATGAACCTCATATATGAACTTATTCTTTTATATTACAGATACCTTCGTACAAAATTTATTTAAAAAGAAAACAAGTAATCATCATCATATAATCTATACATATTATAAAATTGTAAATGAGTCAAATCTGTACATTAAATATATTTTGGAAAATCTTATTGAAATAGACATTATTATCGATACAGAGGCAAAATCTATAGTTTTTAGAAAATTTGTCTGTCTGTCTGTCTGTCTGTTACCGCATCACAGAAAAACTACTGGACGGATTTTGATGAAATTTGGTATGGCACTGGAGGGATTTTGATTAAATTTGGTATGGTAATAGCTGGTTATTCGTGGCAACTTTTTACCGGCACCCGGGGCAACTTTTTACGAATACTTCTTACCGCGGGAAAATGTCTCATTTCTGAGACAAAATACAAAAACTGCAATGTAAGAGTATACTAATATGTGTAACCTAAGAATTTGGTTTTTGGTCATTAAAACGCGGGCGGGCAATGCTAGTCAATAATAGAATTACAATTATAATGAAGTGAAATTTATTTGTATATATGCAGTCCTCTATATATTATGAAAATAAATAAAATCAAAATATACTGATTTGATTCTAAAATATCGTATATTAAACAATATTTACTTAGGAAATAAAAATATAGTAAATAATATTTAGAGGGTAATGCGTCAATAAAATTCTAGTATGAAAATCTACTACACCAAACTCTAGTATACTTAAGACTAATATGTCTGATGCCTATAAGATTGACGTAGAAAGTAAGAATAAAATCTAAATATACTGATTTGATTCTAAAATATCGTATATCTATACATATAATAAAATTTTAACTAAGCCGAATCTGTACATAAATTTTTTTTGGAAAATCTTATTGACATGGACATTATTATCGATACAGAGGCCGGATCTATGGTTTTTATCGATACTAAACGTTAAACAATATTTACTTAGTAAAAAAAAATAATGAGTAAAGTCGCAAGAAAACTCTAGTATGCGAAGTTATTATACTAAACTCTACTATACTGAAAATTAATATATGTCTGGTGCCTAAAAGATTGAAGTAGCAAGTAAGAGAATTTTATTTACAAAATAACATTACAATTTTATTTGGATCATTAGTGGGATTTGCATATTCTTTACTGCCTTAGTAATTTTAGATAAAAGCCCTCAAAATCCAGATGAAATTTCGCATTATACATCACTTTTCCTTATTGTCAAAAGAGAAGTCACTTATGCGTCCTGAGAGAGCGAAACTCCTAAGAGACCATTTGACACGCAGTCATGAGTCGCATGTAAGAACAGCTATTAAGACGCCAATTATATACAAAACTAGCATAACCCGTGACTTCACTCGCGCTAAACCTACAAAAAAAAACTCTAAAAAGCTAGATTTCATACAAACTTTTATCCACTATTTTACCCCTTTATGGGATGAATTTCGAAAAATGATAAGACACGTCTTTCTTTAATTGTATTGAAGAGCATTAATTATCAAGTGTCAAGTAATTCTGATAATAAATATTTTTTCCGTGGGAATAAGGTGATCTCCGGCAATAAAAAGTAGCCTACGTCACTCTCCAGTCCTCCAACTATCACCACACAAAAAATCACTCCAATCCGTCGCTCGGTTATGACGTGAAAGAAAAACAAAAAAACAAATACACTTTCACATTTATAATATTAGTATGGATATACGTAAATAATAAAAAAAGGCATGTAAATATTGAAATTTATATTAATTTAGTATATAATTCGTCATTATATTCCAATTCAAAAATAAAATAATTAGCTAAAATAAAGCTAAATAATTGTGAACACAATATTCAATCTATTTTTATATTAATTAATTAATTGTATTCACTTATTTTAAAGTTCAAACAAAAAATCAACAAGCCTATTAACTGTTGGTTTATTTTATTTCAAAAATAGCATTCGTAAATATTGGCTTAAATCTTACTTTGGTGTAAATTTAATAAATATCACACAATTTAATTGATACTGAGCCTTTATTCTCTTTTATATTTAAAGAAACTATATAAGTTAAAAATTGCACATCGAATATTAGCGTTGGCGCGCGGCTCCGCCCGCGAAAGTTATTTATTTCTGAATTCTCTTCTCTTAAGGGTTGTAGTTTGATGTCAAATAACCTTTATCGATAAACGGGATGTAGAGTACTTTTTTTTTAATCAGGCTAAAACCATTAATAATGGCACTTTCAAACAAACAAACACTTCAGCTTATATATATTAGTATACATATATTCAAAAATATAAAATGATAAACAATTTTATTATACTAGTAGTTACGTACATTGTATACTCAGATGGGTAGCCTGACTTGCGGTCTCGCCCAATGCGTTTGTGGCACGACACGAGTAATCCCCAGTGTGATCTCTCGTCACCTTTTGCAGTACCAACGATTTAGTACTCACGATGATGCCCGAAACCACATTGTGAAGTACTGGTTTGTCCTGTTTGAAGAAGAAAAAGATTCAAAATGAAATACTTACATATATCGCTACAATTCTATAATACCATTGAAGTGGTTTATTGTTTGGTTAATAAACTACCAAAATTGTTAATAATTTTTTTTATTTATATAGATGTAATACTTTCTTAGATTTACGCGAATATTTGACATTTTAAATAAAACTATCTTTTCGGATTTTTTCGCGGATTTCTTTTAATATGGATTCAAAAGTCAAAATAAATCCACGAAAAAATACGAAAAGGTAGTTTTATTTTAAATATAAATGTACCTAATTACTATTGTCCCTATTTACTTTTAAACAAAATTTTATGAGCATTAAGTATTATTCGAAAATGTTGTGTTTGGAGGATGCTTAGGATATAAGACAAATCTATAAATTTCAATAGTTTTGTCTGTTTGCTTGATCGTACATCGTTTAAGAAAATCTGAAGAGATTTAGAAATTGCTTTTTTGGTGGACAGGTAATTTAATAATTATTTATATGACGTAATATATTGATATGAATATTGACTGATTAAACCAGTCTAACAGCCTGAGGCCTCCCATGGGAATTAGCGCAACAGTGGTCCATGAGAGTTCACGATGCTGACCAAATGCAGGCTGTCAGAAATCAGGCGTATTTCGAAAACTTTTTAAGTATGTAAGTTAACTCTCAACTTTTCATTAACCATATTTAAAATGTTATGCATGTAAAAATCTCAGGTGGGGTACCTGGTACTATTACTAATGTAACTTAAAATGAAAGATACATTTATATTATATGTTGAATTATAGAGGCAGCAATATTTATCTATTAGTACAAGTACGTCAAACTACACTGTTACGTTAGTTAAACACGCTTTAGAAATTTAAATTAAATTAAAAAAATTGTGAAATTTACCCACTTTATTTATCTTAAATTATTTACTAACTTGTGAACAATAAAAAGCTCGATTGATTCTATTAGAACGTTGTAATATACTATAAAACTTATGCACAAAGATACGCACGCCGACAACTAACAAATACGGAAGTTTCGAAGTTCGCGTGCATTTCCAAGAATAATAGGTGTATTATTACAAAATGCAGCTTGTTCTGGCATGTCTTGTTTGATATGCCTTAGTATTAAATGTTTATAATTAATTGTAATATTAAGTTAAGAAATGCATCAAATACCGTTCTATACAGATTTTTAGAAACCTTTAATAGCAGGATAAATTACTTTTTACCTCAAGGAATTTAGCTTCAATCATTATTGGTTTATCTTTGTTTATTTTATTTACCTTTTGTTTACTAATCTTTTTTTGTGTACGCGCTTCATAAAAAAGTTATATAAATTAAAAAAAAAAGCTGTCCGTAGGTAAGTTTATTATTTGAGAATTGCTGGGCCGATTTGGCTAATAAGTTTTTATGGATTTTTAATAGCCCGAATAAGCATTTTTTAGGGAAAAATTGTTAGGAAAATAGAAAAAAAATTCTATAGCATTTTTGTATGAAGTCAAAGGTCACAAAATTTATTGAAAGTGAGCCAAAACAAAGTCTCTCGGGTCGGCTTATGTACAAGTTAAATATAATAAAAATGTATAATATAAAATATTGTATAAAATATTACATTTTTACTTTGTGTCGATTTACTAATATTTCAACAGAGTCTTTACAAAAAAACTATTAGGCAATCATTGATTGATTCGACCTATCATATTCTTACGATAGTGTCACCACAGAACCGTTCCCCGATTATCATAGGTTTACTGGAGTGTAAATATAATCAGCGGGATGTACCGAAATTGTAATGGTATTCATTTATTTAATATCATTAGGGAAATAAGAAATAATCTTTACATCATATCTGAATTTCAGATCAATGATTAATGTAATATTAATATTTTAAAGGCAGTGGTAGCCCAGTGGGAACGCGCTCGCTTGTGAAACCAAGTGAAGCGTGTTCAAATCTCGGGTCTCGCACCTCTGATATTTTCATATACAAATTACATATTTCTAACATGATTACCACTTAACGGTAAAGGATAACATCGTAAAACCTGCATGCCTGAGAGAACCTAGCAAGTTTTTGAAATACATGTGAAGTCCGCGTATTGAAGGGAGGCCAGTATTCAGCAGTGGGACGCTTAAAAGGGCTGAATACAATATTTTTAATACAATTTATGATTCTAGACTCATGAGTAACGTATTTATTAAGTGCCTTGTCTAAACTTGATTCTATAAGTAAATAGTAATTAATTTGAATCTAAAGTACTTTGAAGTCAAAACCAATGAAGTGTAATATTAGACCGTTTTATTAATAATATATAATTAGTATTGTCTTAAGGTTTTAGAGGACGTGAGGTTGGTAACACGTCAGTTATATAACAGAGTAAAAAACTAAGAAATTTTACCTTTCTGAATGGAAATTAATCAATAAATTGATATTTATATATATATTGATATAATTATGTACATAGCAGATATATGCATAATATGTATATGTTAATTTTGAGTTTAGGTACATCAGGGAATTTCGCAAAGCTTCTTATTGCGGCTATTTAAACTTCTCGTCTAGTGCAGTTTCTATCCATACGTAGGTACTTATTATACATTGTACGGTGGTTTGCGATTGAAGCCGCGATAGCAAAGTTTGATATATTACACACTATTGCTAGATCGTTTGCATTAGTTTATAATTAAAATGAGAATGAAAATATATATTTAAAGTTACATTAATATTTTTGCTATTTTACTAGTGATGGCAAAAAGTCTTACAACATAAGAATATTTTCCAGTAATTATCAAATGAAGTACAACAGCTTCAAAATCAATTAAATCATTATTTAACACTTGGACCAGGACTTTTTTTTTAATTTATAACATATGTGACCGCCATTGATAATCGATTTGTTAAAAAAAGAGTCATGTAAAAGATTATATTAAAAATTAGGCAAAAATGTGCCTACAGTAAAAATTTGTATCATGTTAAGAGTTATTGCGTGTAGACAGGACAAACTACCAAACACATTTTCCCATTTGTAACGTTAGTAAAGAGTATCAATTTAAGATATACTAGTTTTAATAAAAAGAAAGCTAAATCTATAAAATATCAAGTTTATATTATTTTTTAAATTAGTAAAATCATGTTAAAAAATTTATATTTTTCTGTTATGATTATTATGTACTGTATTATTACTATTATATATACTGTTATGATACCTTGATAGTAAATCTGGCATATTTTAACGAAAGTTCTAAGCTTTTAGCTCAAAAGTAATGTAACTTCAGCTTAACCTAGTTAAGTGCTTGTGCACTTTTGTATGGCGACCTACATATTCAGGCCTTGAGATACTTTAGCGGTATAACATAATATTTTATAATAATATTTATGTCATTTCCGGAATTTTACCGAAAAAATAACATATGAAAATATAATAACTTGGTTAAGCAAATATATATAATATATAACGATCGTTTAAAGTGTACAGTAGAGTAGATGCGCTTTCGCCCTTACAAGTTTGAGTTCCAACCAAAAAGAGCCAATAGAGCTATTTAGTATAGATGCCTATGCATGTCAATCCCATTTGTATTACCCAAACAAATAAACTTATTCAAATAGATTTAAATGCAGCTTTTTTAAATTTAAAAGCTTATCTAATCGTGATAATTTTACTTATACTTAAGCTCTTTAAAACTTATAAATGTCTTTCCAAAGTTATATGAAAAATAACATAAAAGGTTTTTATTTTAGTTCCAATTTTTAATTTCATACTCATTATATTGTCCTTTTAACAAAATAAATTGTATGTGTACTTGATATCTCAGGGCGCCTCCATGAGATAATTGGTGACCTCAGGGCTGGCAGCTGTTTTGTTCAACTTATAAATATTATAATTCAAAGAAGTGTCGCCAGCCTTCTGGGTACCTTGTCTCGTGGAGACATGCTTGATATTTATTATTTATAATTCCGTTTTGTTGCTATATTACCATAAAATTATTTTTTATTATAATTTATAAATAAATATCAATATTGAAATATTGTAAATGTTTCAAAATAAATACAATAATTTTTTCCCCGAACGGAACTTAAAATCAAAATAAATCAGGGAAAAAAATTGAAAAGGTCCAAAGAACGTCAAATTCGCGTAAATCTAAGAAAATATTATTTAAAAATAAGAAAAACAATACCTTAATGTGTGTACTTACATTGTGATACCAAGAAATACGATGCTCTTTTGGGTTGGCACGTACTGAACACTCGAAGTAGACATCGTCACCTTCTTTAATGTCGTGGGGGTTCAGAGTGCTGCCGAGAGACAGAGAAACCACAGGAGGATCTGTAACAATATAAATACATTGAAATGTTATCTTTATCATATACTTATTTTTTTAGTTTTATTTACTGCAGTTTTCTGTTCTCCAAACTCATTAAAATAAGAACGTCATTAAAATTAATTAATAACCGGCTGATTTTCATAGTATTTATTATTAAACTAATATTATAAACAAGTAATGTTTGTGAGTTTGTGACGTTGTAGGGGGTAATCTCTGGATCTACTGAACCGATTTAGATGAAATTTGGTAAGAAGATAGTTTGAGGCCGTGGAAAGGACATAGAATACTATTTATACCAGAAATCATCCCTTAAGGGGGTGAAAACGGGGATGAATGTTTGTACTGGGAAGCAAGCTAGGGACGTACCCAAGCGAAGTGAGGGTAAGTTGTTACTTATTTTTAATTCGTTATGAAAACTAAAATATTTTTATTATTAACTTAAAATATTAAGAAAAGTATGAAACTGGTTGATTGAATGAATAATTATGAATTAGTCAATACTAAAATTATAAATTATTACCAAAATGTCAAAAAGTCAATTCACTTCAAGATTTTGCTTAAGCCATTAAAACTCGGAGGGACGTCTCCCCTTTCAAGGGAACTTCAGCTTAGAGCAAAATTCTATTATATGAAATTACTTAAGAGAAATTACGCCTTGGGTTTCAACGAATCAGTCCTAATAAAAGCCAATGGATGAACGTCATTTTAAATTATATCTGGTGAAACATGTGCTTCACTGAACTTTTATTAAAAATTTTGGATTATTGAGTTATACTAAAGTTAAGTTACACGGCCCATTATATATACCGTTATATAAATTAGGTATACTATATGTACTACATATATTTAAAAGTATTAAATATAAAACTTATTAAACTTGTCTATAGAGTAATTAACATATATATCATATATGTATATATAATAAATAAAAAATTTATGAGGAGGCACAGTATACTATAATATTCTTAAAATTAAAGTTTTTTTGGGTATAACAGTAGCCAATTCCAAAGATTTTAGAGTTAAAGCTCTGTCCCTTAAACTGAGCGTCACAAGCGTATGCTTTTTTGTACACTTTAATTAATATCTTAATTGTAGATCTATCGAATTTAAGGAAATATTATCATAATTATTATTTGCCTTGTGGGTCATAAGCGTGCCAGTTGGACCCATTTTACTTTGCCAATGTCGTGTAGACACAATGGAGATTGACCAGTAATAAATAACATATCTACATTGAGATTTAATTGCATATAAAATGAGATCAATTCACTGTAAGATCTGGAAGAAAATATTTTACGAATATTCCACACAATTACTTTTAAAATGCGCAATTTGAACTCGGTGTACTTTCTTTGAAAAGTGTGGATTATTTTTTTCTGTCGGATTTATGAAAAAGTATAGTTTGAGCACTCCGACCTATGCGCTATATACTGCGGAATCATATAATGTGGGATTTGCGAGATAAGATTGCGTGAAACGATATTTTAAGAATAAAAGGGAGACGTATGATATTTTAAGAATGGAATGGTATGAAAGGTGAATAAAAGAAAAGAAGGATGATATGTCATAATGGAGACACGACGATACGCGTGAACATTGTGTTTAATAATTTAAACGGAATAAATAGTTATTAAAATATCAATAACGCCTTTATTGATATCCCCGGATCCTACATACTCATATATATGGTTACACACTAAAACCAGTATCCAAGTAAAACTATAAGCATTTTCTTGTACTTAATGCGTTATTTTAATACACAATTATTTATTGTGAAAAATCATCTCTACATATAAATAAAATTGAAGTGTCTGTTTGTAATATCAAAATAACAGCTTTTTACTTCATATATATAAAAGTATATGCGGCACTTATAAGAAAAAAACTATTTTTTTAAGTTTTGTCTGTTTGTTCGGATTAATCTCCTAAGCGAATGGACTAATTTTGACGGGATTATCACTGGCGGAAAACTAATGTTATAAAGAGTAACTTAGGCTACTTTTATTTTAGAAAAAGAATTAGGGTTCCACGCAAAAAAATAAAGTCCATGAAAAATAAAAAAAATACTTTGAAGAAAACCGCGTACCCACCGGGACGCGCCCCAGCGAAGCGAGCGTAAGTTGCTAGTCGTAATAAATATAATTACTTGAACGTTTTAAAATCCATACTTTAATATTATAAATGTAAAAGTGTGTTTGTTTGTTTGTTTGTTTGCTTGCTTGTTTGTTTTTTTGTTTGTTTGTCTGTCCTTCTTTCACGTCAAAACGGAGTGACGGATTGGCGTGATTTTTGTGTGAAGGTAGTTGAAGGCCTAGAGAGTGACAGGCTACTTTTTACTGCGGGAGATTAATCTAATTCCCACGGTAAAAAACATTACAATACAATCAAAATGTTTATTTATGTCCAGAATTACTTATAACTTGGTATTAATGCTCTTCAATAAAAAAATTAAATAAATACGTGTTTTAGCTTTTTTCGAATTTCATCCTATAATGGGGTAATATAGGGGATGAAAGTTTGTATGAAACTACCTTTTAAGATATTTTTTTCTAGTTTCAGTGCGAGCGAAGCTATTCTGCTAGTTATAACTAAGTATATCTAAATACAGCATAAGCTAGACAAAGTTATAAAATGAACTTAAACTGCATTTACGTCTACTAACACTATTAAATTACCGCGCAACATCGACTGATTTTCAACCAATCTGCACACTCGAATCGACGGGAAATTTACTATATATGCAGTTCTATACCATTACCATATTTAAGTTTCGTTGTTTGAAATGTTCGTGGCAGTTATTATTGGAATAGAAATACATATATTCCATTTGAAATTAGCTACTGTATGTAGAGTTAGCCGCGTGATATACTAGTGGCCAGCATATAAGGCTGCAAATCCACAGGTCTTGAGTTCGTGTCTTGGGTAGGTCTAAACAAGGGAAGTTGGGAATTTCGCGGTGATTATATCCCCATGCCTCGGAGAAAACGTTATGATAGATATAGAGTGTGTTGTTTTTAAATATTATAAAGGCAGTGGTAGCCCAGTGGTAACGCGCTCGCTTGGGAAACCGAGTGAACCGAGTTCAAATCCCGGGTCTCGCACCTCTGATATTTTCATTTGCGAATCATTTCCAACATGATTACCACTTGTCTTAACGGTGAAGGAAAACATCGTAAGGAAACCTGAACCCCTCGCGCTGAAGGGAGGCCCGTGCCCAGCAGTGAGACGTTAAAAAGGGCTGAATACAATACAATACAATAATAGGCACTAAAGGACATCATTATAATAAAAATATATTCATGCGATAGAAAGTTAGTGCCTGGAAAAATGTTTTCACGTTTAGAGTCCGAACAAAGCTAAGGGCTTTTATAATAAAATGGCGATTATTCATTGATCAAAGAGAATCATTAACTAAACTAACAATCTCTGCAATCAAGTAAACAAACATAAATCCATTTGCCAAACCAGGTGTTTACAATAATTCAATTATGTACCTATGCCGTGTTAGCATCTAGTTGTTTAGATGATGGTCCCCAACACGCTGACACTTTATTGGCCATTAAAGACTCATAACGATGTCGACCCGCGAACAGCCTCAAAATAAACATTTACGATTTCACCATTAAATTGTTGGCAAAACGATTCAAGACGGGAGCGGCGCAATTCCACTCGCTTTAAATGTGTTACGGTTCGCCAAGCAGAAGTAAATAGAATTTATTTATATTTGGAAATTAATTTCCTTAGTCGTAATAGAGTCTGTTTCTTGCTCATTTTGACGACTGTCCTAATATTGAGTCTCTCATATAGCACTCTACGCTCGACACTCGTACAGTTACGTTAATTAATAATTATTTTTTATTGATCAATATTGATATATATATATCGAATTTTGTTATAAAACAAGATTTTTCCCATGTCTTCGCTTGCGTTCCCGCTCTGCTCCCGTTAGATAGCTTACATCCTTCCTCAATAAATGGGACTGGTATTATTATAGTTGGGCGTTTGTGAGTATGCGTTTGTTATTTCTTTCCGTTGTAAAAGCATAACGTATGTTTTTAATTGAAATTAAAAATGGAAATAGTTTATATCCTGGAATAAAACGTAGATTTTTTTATCCACGTCCCATACGAGTAAAGTCATGGTTAAAAACTAGTAGTCTATAAAGTGTAATTTTTTCATGTGACGTATTTCATGTGACGAACAAAATATTTTTTGCAAATTCGTAAAAAAGTATCAGGACAATATAATTCGTCAATAAATTTTTGAGAGTAAATCAAACCAGTGACAAACGACATAGTAAACCATGACAGAAGATATGAAAGTGCATCTCACCACCGTTATAAAACAAAAATTACTATGTCAGTGTATGTGTATCATATATTACTTCTTTACGCCGAGTAAATGAAAAATACTCAGACAGATTATGATATAGTGTTACCTGGAGTAACATAGACTAGTGTTACTAACGCTAAAAAGCTGGCGATATATATATCTATATATGTATATATATATATATATATATATATATATATATATATATATATATATATATATAAATTAATGTTGGTAAATGCATAGCTCAGGAATGGCTGGACCATTCAGCAAAAAAAATTTCGTATGTTCCTTAAGGTCCACGGAAGATTTTAATAAAGAGAAAAAATGAAAAATTAACGAAAAAGAAATAAAAATGTATGTGGCTAACGCTGGCTAATAACTATTTATATCTATTTAAAAATACAAAAGTACTTAAACGCACTCGAGCGAAGCAATGATAAGTCACTAGTGCTATTTATTTATTTTGTGTATATTTTAAGTCCGCTTTCAAACAACCTGTAAAGTCCAATTTAATCTCTGTGAAAGTGTTACTCGAAGCCTGAAAAGGGAGAACATTCAGTGGTCAGAATTCGTTTTTCCACAGACCTCGATTTTATTTCAATGCTAAATTCCGGACAACACTAACAAGATTTTAATTATGTTTTACCGAATTCCTTACTCAACCCTT